CCCTAGTCCTTCTACCCAATTCTAAACTTAACCCTAACCACTAACCCCAATGGTAAAAAGTAAACAGTACCCCCACCTGAAACCCTAATACTATCCCTATACATAATACTGACGCTAAAGCCCAACACTAATCCTAATCCCTAACCTTCATCTTCACTCTAACCCTTATACTCACTCTAAACCCAACACTCTCCCTTACCCTATGGCCAAACCTCACCCTAACCCTCAGACTAATCATAACCTTCACCCTCAGCTTCGCTCTCACCTAACACTCTCGAATCCTAACCCTACCTTTCCTCACAATCCAATCAAATGTATTATCAACGTGTTTAGTGATGAAAATCATACACAACGTGGCCGCTAACCAAAACCCTAGCCCTAAAATTAGCATGAAGAAATCCTACTAGGTGGAGCCATACCATGAACCCTTTCATGACGCGTAACCCTAAAACTCTGACCATAACGTAAAGTCTCAACCTAACCTGACTTCAGATGCCTGAGCCAACATGTTACACTCAAACCCACTCAAACCTATTTCAAGGCCTTGCCCTGACGCTGACCCTAACCCTAACAAGACCCCTAGACACAGCACTACCCCACAGCTGAACCCTTCACCCCAACCCTCACCCAAACTTCACTCTCATCCTTGGCCACAGGCCCTCAAAACTTAAACACTGAGCAGGAGGGCCTGGTTCTTAAACCAGCTGTCTCTGCCCACCAGGAGGGAGCTGGCTGAGCTGGGGATGTGTGCAAAGAGTAGCACAGGGTGGGTTGGGCCGTGTGTGTCCAGTTTGGCACACGCAGGTTGGGAAGGAGCAGCCAGCAGTCTGGGATGACTGCAGATGCAGCTTAGAGAGGGCGACCCAGGAAGGGACCCAGGAAGTGACCTCACTTCCTTGACAACGGACCAACGGACCAAACAGAACTTGGAGCCCCGAGGCTGGCGCGGTCCAGTTACTCGTGCAGAGACTGACACACGAGGACTATGTGGTTGTGTTGTTTCCCAAATTGCCTAGGCTCAGGCCACAGGAGATGGTGGAGTGGGGGCCTTGCCCACATGTGGACACTCTGGGACAGCTGTCACCCCCGGCGCCTCTGGGGAAGGAAGGCAAAGATAACTAAGGTCCCTGGGAGGATCCATCCCTGCACCGCACAGGCCCAGCCGGGCGTGCCCACTCCTGGATGGAGGCTGCAGAGGTGTGGGCCCAGACTGCTCAGCATGGACCCCACACCTCTGCCCTCTGTGCCCAGCTGCTAGCGGGAAGGGTGGGCTCTGCATGGCAGCCCTCCCTCAGGGTCAAGGACAGACTGTGTCATGGAGAGGCCCGGCCTCTCACTCTATGTGCCCCACCCACCTGCAGTGCCCTGTGCTCCCTCCTGGAGACCTGGTTGGTCAAATACCCAGGAGACTTCTGCCAGTGCCCAGACCTGGCCAGCCTGAAGCAGCTCATGGCCTATGCGCTCATCAACCTGCCCAACTTGGACCTCGTTCTGCAAGTGGACAGACTCCTGACTCAGTTAGAACCCCTCTGAGGAGGAGCCCGAGGGTGAGCAGCCCTAGCTGGGTGCTTGAGAGCAGGGCAGCTGAGTCAGGCTGGGCCCCACCAGGCAGAGGCTCCAGAGGCTGCTGTTCGGCTAGGAGCAAAGGAAGAGGCTGGGACCGTGGATGGGGTGGACCTGAGACAGGATGGCATCCTGCTGTGGGCTCAGGGGCTGGGGCCTCTCCTGAAAGAAAGGGCCTCCCTCTGCCTTGGGAAAGACACGGGGAAAGGCAGTTGTGGAGGAGTCTTTTCTCATGGCCCTCTCCTGTCTCCTCTAGGGCCTGAACTGCAATCCCCCGCAGCAGGTATCAAGAGAGACCTGGGAGCAGGGAGAGGGAGGGAGCCTGCACTGGATTCTGTGTCACCTCGGGATCTGCAGCCGGCATGGGTACCAGCAGCCAAGACTGACTCCACGCCCCTGGAGGCTCCTGGTCTGTCTGGCTGCAGGGCATCTCCAGCTGCTCAGGCCTCCCCACCAGGCTGGGCTCCACTGGCTGGGCCTCCCTCCCCTCTCCTGGGAAAATCATCCTTTGGTTTTTCCTGCATCCATGTTTCCCTCATCTCTGTACGTATTTATTTTAATAAAATTTAACTGTTCTATTTCAAAATCCACACCTAGCGTACTCAATCCTCAGGCCATGCCAAGCACCTCAGAGCACTGTCCAGCTGCTGCCCAGAGCCCCTAGCAGAGGCCCTGGGTCCTGTGGGGAGGACAAGCTCAGGACCTGCTGGAGGAGGGGACTGAGGAGCCCCCAGGGGGAGAGGGACACAAAAGTGCTGAGAGGGCACCAAATAGAGGCAGGCAAGGGGCTGCCTTGCTGGACCGGGCCCCTGATGGCCCAGGACTCAGGCTTTATACTGGGGAACACTTGTGTCCCTGGAAAGCCACTCCCTTTTGAGCCTCAGGTTCCCCACCTGTGCGATGGGACAGCAGGGCCTTCCCTGAGATGAAGACACAGTGTGCTGGCATGGAGAGCTCCCTGCACCCTGAGGCAGAGTTGGGCACCCTCCAGCTACACAGTGCCTAGACGCAGAGTTTGCAGGGTTGAAAGTAAGTGTTCAGGAGGGTTTGAGTCTATATCAGAGGTTTATAGCCTTAGCAGTTTTCTGAAACGGCCGCCGCTAACATTTTCTACAAGCATAAGCAGGAATATAACTGGCAAAGCGGGGTCTGTGGGAATCTCACTCATGCGTCTGTGGGAATGGCCAGGGAGCAAACCCAGCAAGGTGAGCACACACCGGAGACCCTCCTAGCACAATGCCAGGGCTCACCACTAAACTCACACAGGTTCCCGAGGGCCTGGGCAAGATCCAACCTCACTGAGAGTTAGGGACCACGGGAGGAGCAGGGGCAGGACACAGAGTTGTGACAAAGGCAGGCCCCGGGTACAGTGAGCACTGCCCTCCCTCTGCAGCACCGAGGGTTTCCACAGTGCCCCCAGGAACCCTCTGAGCCACAGAAACAGGTTGGCATGAAAAGAGAAATTGTTACCAAGGAGAAACCAGAAGAAACGCTCCAGCTTGACCAGCTCTCAGGGCAACTAAAACTCCCCACACCTTGCTGGGCCATGCAGTATTACTTTTTGCTGTGGATGGCTCTCTGACGGGCGTGCTATGGGAACAGCTGCCTTGCATACCCATGGGGACCTGAAGGTCGCCTTTGCTAAGAACACTGTCCTTTCCCTGAGCCTGCAAGTGTCTAATGGGTGACTGAAATGGAATGAGTTCCTCCTCTGACTTCCTGCTGTGTTTGTCCCATTTGCTTTCAGAGCTGGGTCAGATTCTGCTTGGCTGTGCGTGTTCACATCTGGATGGCTGAACATGTTTAGTGCATTATCGAAGGACAGAAGCCAGGACTGCAGTTTTCCCTGCTCTCTGTGCTATGGGCACCTGGGCTGTGTGTGAACCCTCAGCCCTCTCATCCAAGCTTGGGAGAGGGGTCTGTTCCTGAGCTTAGCGTGGGGCCTGACTTCTGGCTCCTGGTCCTTGTCACCATTCCCAGAGAAGACCTCCAGGCGGGTCCTTCTAAGATGATGAGGACCTCGGAGTGTGCTGGTCCTGGCACCTCCAATTCCAGGAAATGTGCCCAGGGTCTCCATGATGCCACCCTGTCCAGGGACCTGTGTGTCCAGCTGGGAGTCCCCACCCCAACGTGGCCCTGGAGACTTAGTGCCTCAGTCCAGGAAATTGAGGCCCTGCCCCCTGTATCCCACATGGAGCTCCCTGAGAAGACCCAGTTCCCCTTGGGAACCCCCCCAACTTTCGCTGCTGCCATCCGGGTAGAGTGGGAGGAGGAAGTGGACCTGAGGAGGGCTGGTAGCTCCCTCAGGGTGGATCCCGCCCTCAGCTTAGAGTGCGTGTCAGTGACTCTGAGACTACTCTACACATCACCACGTCCACTGAGGGCACGCACAGTCCCATCTCCCACTGCACCTGAAGGAAGTGCCACATAGGTAAGGAAAGAATGTTGGGACTCCACTCACAGGGAGACATGGGGGCATTGCCCAGCTATGGCCAAGGTCGAGGACTTGTGCAGTGCTGACTGTTCTCCCTCATCGCCTCTGTGAACAAGTCCTGGAACTGTCCATGGCTCAAGGTCACAGAGTCCAGGGTCAGACGCCAGCTGGGTGAAGCTGTGTGGGACGGGACAGGGATGCTAGTCCCACCCTGGCCAGTCCCCACCCTTCCCACCATGGTCCAATGTGGCCTGGAGCCCAGTCCCCAGTTGGGAGGGTGCAGTGCTGAGGTGGCCACAGCTGTTCTGAGGCTCTCTGTGGACAGGACCCCAATGCCCACCCCAGCTGTCCAGCACATGTTCCCCAAGACAGCGTCTCCTGCTCCTGGTTCCTCAGCTCTCATCTGGGTCCTCTTCATCCCCTCTGGATTCACAGTCCCAATGCCCCAGGGCTCCTTCTGAATGACAGTGTCCGGGCCTCTCCTCCCACAGCCCCCGGCACCCCATCCCTCATCCTGCCCTCTGACAGGTCTGGAGGGCGGGAGGCCCTGGTGCAGGGTGTACTGTACGGGAGCCAGGCTTTGGGAGGGTGGATGTTAGCATGTAGCTGGTGATGCCCGTCTCAGGCTCACGGAGCCCTGGGGACTGGACAGCCCTTGGGGAGGATGTGGTCACATGCTGCCTACTGTCCTCCCTGGGTCCCAGCAGAGCTCAGCACTCAATGTCCTCCCTTGGCTCCTCTGCCCTGGGACCCAGCTGCCCCCTGCTGCCAGAGCCTGGCACGGAAACAACCCAAGCAGGGTCAGTGCCTGCTGTACACTCATGCCATGCCGTGGGCATCTTTTTGAGCATGTTCCCTTCCCTGCACTTGCTGCAGACAGGAGGACCCTACTCTGACCCTTCCTTTTCCCACCTGCCAGGGGGAAGCTTGGTGCCCAATGCTTTGTCCCACCTTGTCCTCCTGCTGTTGCCTGGGGCTCCCCCCAAACACAAAGCTCAGCCGACAGGGTCACACAGCAACCTTTTATCAGGAACAGAGGGCTCAGTTCTTCGATCACCGGGCCACTGCTGCTGCCCTGGTTCAATAGAGACCAGGAAGGAACCTTCCAGGCACTGAGCTGGGGTGGAGTCGGAGATGGGGTTCTGTGGTGACATCCTTGTCCCCTTCAGGATGGTGGCATCTTCCCTCCAGTGTGTAGCCTGGGCTTTCGGGAAGGGCTGTCCTCTTTTGGCTGAAATCAAATTGTGCTCCCGACTCCTCTTGGTCCCCATGTGCTACTGGATGACAAGCAGAGATCTGGCCTCTACCTCTGCCTGCTGAGCATCTACTGAGTGGCTACATCACCCTGGCATAGCCGTCAGGAGGGGCTTCAGGCCTCCTTCCCTGGGCCTGGGAGCCAGGTTAACCAGGGAACTTGGCAAGCTCTCGACGTGCCTGGCCCAGCCGTGCCAGCCGCTCCTTCAAGAACTTCCTCTTCTCGCTGGTGTCGCTCCGCTCCTTCAGGAGCCAGGCGCAGGCGTCCTTGTCTTGCAGCAGCTGCAGCATGGTGTTCTGTAGCTGCTGGCCAAACATCTGCAGGATGTAGTACTGGATGATCAGGGGGATGTGGGTGGAGATGCGGTTGTGAACCTCCTGGAAGAAAGGACAGATCACAGAAGTTCTGAGAGTCAAGTCCAAGGAGGAGATGCTGATCTCACCAAGGGAGCACTAAAGGCCCCAGGTCTCCAGGGAGGGAGACCACAGCCTGGGCTCAGAGTCAGCTGTGTCCCCTGTGGTGGGGCAGCAGGGGCTCCACAGGGGCACAGAAGGACTGACAAAAGTCAGGGTGGCGATGGCCTCTGTCCCTGGCTTACCTGATCATCATCCCGATCCCGGAAGAAGGGGGTGAAATATGCTCCACAACACCCACTCGGGGACATTCGCACACACCTGCACCTGGGGAGAGCAGCCCAGGCCTTCTCCTGTGGGCCATGCCTCAGGCTGTTTGGCAGCTGCGTCTGGGCCGTGACAGCTCCAGGCAGGAGCCTGAGTTGCAGCGTGGACAGAGTCCCCACCGCCCCTCCTCCTGCCCCACTGTCCTCAGTCACTCTCTCTGGCACATGCTGACCTCAGCAAGTTCTGCTGCCCCCATGTGACTCAGTTTCCTTCTCTGGGAAGCAGGGACAACATGGCCACAGACCTCCCAGGACGGTGAACCACAGTGAACATGTCAGGAGCCAAGGGGTCCGGAAGAGGCCAGGCAGTGACCAGCACCAGGTCTGTCCCTACAGGCCAGCCAGAGGGAGTCCGGCATGGGTTCTGGGACCAGAGGAACTGGGTGTGGCCTGTCCCCAGGCCAGAGAGGAGTACAGATGGGGCAGCAGCAAAGGGCAGCACCCAGAAGCAGGATACATGGGAGCCCCAGGTGGGTACAGGGGCACAGCTGTCAGGAAAGCCTCAGAGCCACTCCACAGTCCCTGTGGCCACAGGGACGCGCCTGGAGGACACTGAACTCCAGACATCAGCCAGCCCTGTTTCTACAGACCTCCAAGGCTCAGATCCTACAGACAGAAGGGTGGATGCTGGGTGCTGGGCCTGTGACCCGGATGCAGAAGAAACTCATTGTACACAGAGAAAGCCCGGCTCAGACAGATGAAGGCCTGGGCATAGAAGACGCAGCAGTTGAAGCTGCTGTGTGGGGCTCTAAGTCCCCAGCACCTCTGTCTAGCTGAGGTGGAGCTGCTCCAGGGGCCACACCTGAGCTGGCTGATGGCCACCTGGTGCCCCACAGCCCAGACATGGGCCCTCAGAAGGAAGGGAGGTCTCGGCCCAGGGGTGTGACAGGAGCACACGCACCTGGCGGTAAGCGTTCAGATGTTGGAGGATTTCACCAATAGAAGCGTTCCATGAAGACCTAGAGACCTTGTTCATCTCTTCCTCCTCAGCGCCCTCCTCCCTGACCTTCTTCAGGGCACCTCGGTAAGCCTGGTCCTGGCAGTAGATGATCTGCTCCATCCGGAAGTGAACTCGGATCGCCTTCTCCGCTTCTTCTTCTTGACTCGATCGAATGTCTTCAATTTTGTTCTGCAGGAAGGGAAGGTTGAATAAAGATCCCTCAGGAGGCGAGGCCACAGAGGTGGGAAACAGGGCACCCAGGGGCTTGGAGCCACGGCTCCCTGGTTGCACCCCCCCACCCAGTGCTGTGGACGGATTCCACCCGGGCCTGGGCCCTGCCTGTGCTGTCCTCAACCAGGACTCAGCTCCTCTCTTTGCTCCCTTGCAGGTTTGCTGTCTGAGAGGGAGGCAATGGCATCCCCCAGAGCCTGTGTGTGTGGACAGGAAGGGCACAGCTGGGGTCAGAACCACCCCAGAAGGGTCCGGTCTCTGGCTTTCAAGGCCACTGAGGGAGAGGCTTTCCCAGAAAGCTCCACACCCTCCACCTTGCAGGTCACTGCATGTGAGGCTCGGTTCTGGGTGGGTCCCAACCCTGGCCTTCCTGTCACTACCACCTCAGGGACATGGCACTTGTGCATTCAGGTCCACCGGTCAGCAAAGTGGCCACCCTCATCCTCGGGCTGGGGGACGGCAGAGCCTGGGTCCCCTCTGGGCCAGGAGCCCTGTCCTGTGGGGACCCGCCTGAGCCCGGACTCTGGACCACACCTGTCCCGTCCCTCCTCCCTCCCCACTGATCCCAATTCTGTACTGAGCCTCCTCTCTGAGTGTCCTGCTAGGGCTTTTACCTCCCAGCCTACCCTAGCTATCCTACCCACTATCCTGTCTACAATGAGGGGTCCTGGTTCCCCCGTTAACCATTTCATATCTGAATCTCCCACCCCACTGCTTTATCCAGACACTGCTGTGGGCACCAGCAGGAAGATTCCCAGGAGCCGGAGGATTCCACATGTATACAGGGAATGTATCCAAATGTATGCAGGAAATGTGTGTTCTCCTGTCAGGGTTATTCATTGTTCTTAGCGTCACATTGTTGGTTTTACCTTGGTGGTTCTGTGGAGGTTAAAAAACTCAGTAAAGTTTTTTTCAGAAACATCCGTGAGGGCTTTCCAGACCATTTCTGATCAAAGAGAGAGAAAGGCGAGTCAGTACTGGGAAGCTCCTTTATTCCTCCCCTAGGCTGCAAAACGCATGACTGACACGATCGGAAACCAGGCTCCTGTCCTTCTACTCTCCTCTGCCCCTTCCGCAGTTCCTCTCCTTCTCCTCCTTCTCCCCTTCTAGCTCCTCTTGCCCTCTTCTTCTTCCTCCTCCTCCCCACTCTCTTCCTCCTCCTCCTCCTCCTCCTCCTCTTTCCCAGTGAAGAGAAAGACATGCTCCATGGAGTTAGAACCCACTGGAGGACTTACAACTAAATAGCCTCTGGCATATCTCTATTTCACATTTAAATTTTTTATCCAAGGTAGAAGCTGTGTTTCAAAGAAAGTAATTTCTTATTCATTACAAACCTATTATTACATAAAATAAAACCATCGCATCATTCTTAAACTTATCAATGGGATCTATGTGTCCACACTATTCATTTGAAAAAGAATCGCAAGAACATGTTCTTATTCAAGCAAAAGACATTTACATCCTTATTCTCGGAAGTGCCTTTTCTACTCGACTTTCTTACAGGACATTGCCATGGAGTTGCCCAGTGTCATTCTGCTCCCATGGCTTTTGCTGATGTCCACATCCCCACTTTCTGAAAGGTCAGGCTCTGCATACATACTTTCAACCTTGTTGAGTGACTGTGACACTGTACGTGCCACAAACTTTCCTCTGGGAGAAAAAAGCTAGAGTGGATGGATGATGAGAGCATGGAAATGAGGGAGCAGCTGCATTATCCTGCAGCCCAGAGGTAAAGGGCACCGGACACACCTGTGCATGAGGTGCCTGGGGCCGCCCTGACCCCTGTGGCCTCTAGGAGCCTTGAAGGACTGGACTTTGCTGAAATGAGAGGAGACCAGGCAGGGGAGCCTGAGAGGACAGATCCACTTGGTTTGAGTCCAGGAGGCAGCACATTGCAAGAAGGGGTGAGGAGGATGAGACAGGTGTGTCCCTTGGGGGCTCGGACCATGCCCTGGCCACAGCGACACCCACACCTAGCAGAGCCCAGGGTACTGACAGCTGTTTCTGCCCTGACCTGGCTCCTCAGAGCCACCCCATCAACACAGTGCTTGAGAGTAGAAATGACCACAGCTACGAAGCACAGTGGCCTGGGGCAGGAGACACCCAGATCTGCTCCAGAGGTGTTGGGACACAGCTCAGGGCACCTCAGCACTTCCTCTGTGAGGAGAGCACCCTGTAGTCTACAGAGGTGACTGTGGTGGGCCTAGATGTCTAGGATGAAGCTACCTAAGATGGACTGGGTCAGGATCAGAAGCTGGAACTGTTCCTCCCAGAAGCCCACTTCTGAGAAGGAAGCAGGCTGGGATGGAGCTGTCACTGTCTGAAACTTCCAGGTGTCCAGGTTCACATGGAGCCATGGGCACTCTGGTAGGGTCAAACAATCCCACTCCACTGCAACTTGGCCTCTGGATCCCTTATCACACCCTTGTGACACACCACCACATGTCCCTGCGGCACATCGCTGGCCGGGAAGTGACCAAACCCAAGCAGAGGATGGCAGGACCCTGATTTATAGATGGTCACTTGGGATGGAGCTATGAACTCAGGGACAGTCTTGGGGACCGAGCCATCACCTCACCGGGAAGGTGCCAGCTCCTGGTACTGTCAGAACCTCATCCTGTGGGGCCAGAGGCTGGCATCTGGGGCATCACACAATGGGTTTCATGTGGCAAACACCCAGGTGAGAGCTCGGAAGTTGCCCTCTTCCTTGCTCATCCCTTCTCTCCCTGAGCAATAGAGGCCACCATTCGGAGCCACACTCACCAGTGACCTTGTGCAGCATCTCTACAGCCGGCTCCTCCAGGGCCTGGAGTTGCTTTTTAATGATCTTCTCAAAGGTCCTGTAGTTCACAAATCCAGGTAGCTCTCTGCCGCGATGCTGGTTTTCAAATTTCCAGACTTCACTTTGTAAGCCATCATAACCTATAGCAAGACAGGGTAGCTTGGCATTATTTTACCAAATAACCTTGTAGGTTTTCCTAACAATCATATGGTGATTTTTCTGAAAACATAAGTAAAAGCAAAGTCAAAAATAAATCTTGATTTTCAAATGGAAAACTACCCCGGGACTGCAGTAAAGAAACCAATCTCAAGATAATTCGCTTCCGTAAGCGCAGGCTGGCAAATGCAGAGCCAGAGAACAGCCAATGCAGAACTTGGAGGAAGATGGATTCTCGGAGAATCACTGAGGGTGGAATTCCATAAACCCCATTAGACTGTACCAAGACAAAGGATCAGGACAGTGAATGCTCCTTACCCAGAGCCAGGGGCCTCTAGGACACAGGATGACCTTGAGCACCAGCTGGGGCCACCTGCAGGTCCCCTGCTCCTGAGCTGTGGAGGAGCAGGAAGTGCCCCTCCTGGAAGGGACACATGGTGAGCGGGCACCCTGGAGTGTGACATGGGCTGGGGAGAGGAGACCCAAAAGTCCCCATCTCCCTCCCAGGGAATGGGTAGCCTGGCTCTTTCTGGACTGAAGAGATTTTCCTGGTAGAAATTTCATAATGGAGACTAATGCACATATAATAAAACTCATCCTGCTGAAGGGAGCGAGCCCATGATTCCTGGTATATCCAAAAGTTGTGCAGCCCCTTCACACATTCCAGGACGTCTCCTGCACCTGCAGGACACCCCACACCCATGGGATCCATCCCCACATCCCCCAGCTCCAGCCCTGCAGCCCCTCCTCTGCTTCCTGACTCCATGGCTTCCCCCATCCTGGACACTTCACGGGAAAGGAATCTCATGACCCGTGGTCCTTGGTGACTGGTTTCTTGCATTCCGCACCAGGGTTTCAAGGTTTAGCCATGTTCAGCCTGCGACAGTGTTTCTGGCTTTCTGAGGCTGAAAATATCACCCTGAAGGGCTTTACAGGCTCTTGTGCACGCCCCCAAATTCCTGTGCTGGGACCCTAACCCAGGGCCTCAGGATGTCTCTGTGCCACTGACAGGAACCCTAAGATAAAGAGGAACGAAGAAGAAGTGAGGTCGCTAGCGTGGGCTCTGAAGCTCTCTGACTGGTGTCCTTATGCAGACTGGAGACTGGGACATAGACACACACAGGGAAGACCGAGGCCACAGGGAGAAGGCGCTGACTACACGGCAAGGAGAGAGGCCTCAGAGGGCGCCAACCCCGAGGACTCCCTGACCTTGGACCACCAGCCTCCCAACTGCCGGAACAACTCCTCCTCTTGCTTGCTGGCAGCTGTGTTCTAGCAGCCCAAGCAGACACACACCAGGTAGGATGTTTGGTTTCTCCAGTCACCAGCTGAGGGACGCTGGCGCTGGATGCCCCTTCCGGTGTCCTACATAATGCTTCCCTGACCATTCCTCGGTGAGCTTCTGTGGGGACGTGTTCAAGTTTCGAGTTCCCTTGGGCTTCCTAGGAGTGGAGGTGCTGGGCCACATGCTTGCCTTATAGGGTGACCGCCAAAGTGGCATGCAAAGAGCAGGGCCATATCACAGTTCCACTCCCAATGTGTGAGGCTCTCATGGTCTCTTCGTCCTCTCCAACACTTCTCATGGTCAGCCTTTCTAATAATCACCACCCCAGGGTGGAACATGGGCTTTTGCTCTGGTTTAATTTTCATTTCTGATGGTGGATGACATGTGCCACCTTTTGTGTGGCTTACTGGCCATTCAGTAGCATTTTGGACAAATGTTGATTCCGATCCTTGGTCCATTTCCTCATTGGATTGTCTTTCTATTACAGAGTTGGAAGAGTTCCTGATTTCCTGGGCACAAGGCCCTCCCATATCACATATGTGTGCTTTGCAAATATTTCCTCCCATTGTGAAAGGGGCAGAGTGGCCCTTTTCTGGTGTGGAGACGCAGCACACAGCAGACGTTCAGCCTCGGCTCTCTGGACCTGGGGGTGGGGAGCAGCCTCAGGCCAGTGGGCATGGTGGAGATGTGCGTACATGGTCCCCCAAATGAGCCCCCACACTCTGCATCGAGAAGCCTGGCATGTATTCCATCCACCCTCCATGCCTTCTGCCCAGGACAAGTGGATGCGACTGTGCAGCCAACCCAAAAGACAGAATGGGCCTCTGTCCCTTGTTCTTTAGTAAAAGGCAAAGGAAACTGTAAATCTGAATCTCCAGGTGACTGGAATGAATTGCAGATTCCTTTCAAGTTCCCTGAAGAACAGCAAAGTTACTTAGCAGATGCATCATGGCTCGATGCATGATTTCCTTCAGGCTTCTTGCCAACTGCACTGAACTGGATGAAGAGGCTCCTGAGATGTGATTGGATTGGGGAGCACTGCACCCCTCAGTGGATTAATCTGCTATTTTCACCAGTGCATGTGCTCTGAGGAGGCAGGGCCCAGCTGCAGGCGTGGGGACCCTGGGTGGCCTGAGGAAGTCCCACCTCTCTAGTGTTCTTCCCCAGTGCTCAGCTTCCCAGCCATTATGTGAGCCAGCTGTGCTCTGCCAGGCCCTTCTGCTAGGATGTTTCTGCTTTGGAGCCAGCTGACTCTGAAAGTGTGAACAGAGTAGACCTCTCCTCCTGTGAGCTGTGGGTGTCAGGTATTTTTTCCCAGCGATGGGAAAGCTGACAGATGCATTACACGCCGCTTGGCCTCCTTCAGGGACAAGAACAGAGCGAGTGCACCTTCCGTGTTGATAGGTCCCTGCTGCCGCCCCTGTTCTCGCATCTCACATCACACTCCTCTGTGTCCTCACAGACCACACCAGACACTGGACCGCACCCTGCCTCATTGGTAGGATCAGAATGTGCCCCCCAAGTTCAGATGTTGAAACTTCACCCACAGGGCAGCGCCATTCAGAGGGGCTCTTTAAGAAGATGTCAGGCCATGGGGGCTGCACCTCCACAAACAGACCCTGTGTTTAGGAAAGAGACCAGAAGGAGCTTCCCTCCCTCCTCCTGGTGAGGCCACAGCCAGAGGTCGCCACCTTGGAAGCAGCTGCAGAGACCCAGCCTCAGCAGACACCCGATGGCCTGGCGCCTTCACCTTGGACTTCCCAGCATCCTGAAGTGTGAGCAATGAGTTTCTGTCACTTATAAAATATCCTTCCTGAGCTATTTAGTTACAGCAGCACAAATTATGACACTCACCTTTTCTAAAGTGATTTTCAATCACGGAACTCCAAGATGTGAACTGATGTCGGAGTTTGGCAAACAGCCGGGTGCCATCAGTGCCTACATTTTCTTCCCCTTGGACTAGAGCAATGATGTCCTGATTGAATGCATTAATTTTCTGTCAAGAAGACAAACACCGTATCAGCGGAGATATGCAAATGCATGGGGGGGGGCGTGGCTTGCAGGTCTTGTGTGCCTTGAGTGTGGGCGACCCATTCTCCTCCTGTGGCCACTCTGGAACGAGGGGAAAGAAGAGGCTGTGCCCCCAGGAGAGCCCATCCCTAGGAAATCCCCAGGGATCATGGGTGAGGCCTTTTCAGAGCCCCTGCACTGAGCAGGACTCCCTGACCTCTGTCCCCACCAGCACTCTTCTTAGTGCTAAGTGGGCAGAGTGAGTCTGCAGGAGGCTCGGGCCAGTGAGGACAGCACATATTGGTCACCAGACACCGTGGAGGACAGCAAGGTGGGAGTCTCCGGTGAACCTCACCTCTATCAGGAAGATGGTTTTCTCATTCTCATCTTGTGGGATGTCCGGGCCATAGTTTTGTAACTCCTCTGTTATTTCCTGGTGACGCTCCTTTATTTGATTTTCCAACAGTGGCAGAGATTTCTGGGGAAGAGAGAAAATAATGGGACATACAGCTACGGAGCAGGAATGGAAAGGAGGGCCTGGGCCTTCTCGGCAGAGGGGCCGCCTGGTCCATGTGACATCTCGGTGCCCTCTAATGATTTCCCTGGCACAGAGATGCACACTAGGGATCGCTAGTCTGTCTTCATCTGCCATGAACCATGCATAGGTGTGAAGCACCCAGCAAGGAGTGACTCCTTGAATCAGCCTGCAGGGACAGCAGCCTGATGCTCTTTTTCAGGAAAAGTGGCAATTGGAACAACTTGAGATTCTACAGCTTTTATGCTGTTTTCAGAGGGGACTCCTGTCTCTGCCTGTGTAGCCCACTGGACGAGTGGCTCAATCCCCCACAAGAGCATGGACCACACTGGCTGGGATGTGAGCCCTGTCCCTTCCCATGTGCCAGGTGGCAAGATAATAAGGGACACTAGCAGGTTGAAGCCAGGAATCAGGAGTCATCCATGGGCTGGAGAAGACAGCATTGGACTCCAAACTGGGTTTCAAGGGAAGAAAACCTGAGCTCAGATCTAGGAGACAGACCCAGTGCAGGGGAAAGATGAATCCTCACAGGCTTGGTCATGGCTGGGAGTCTGATAGGGGAGCAAGGTTTTCCTGCTAAGGCCAGTCTGGGGAGCTCTGCCTCACCAGCACAGTCTAGGAGACATCAGCCAGCCAGCTCTGCTCTCCACCCACCATGGGGTCTGGGAGGAGGACCTAGACCTTGGCACTAGGCAGAGGGGAGAGAAGGTCTCTGCAGAGCTTTGGTGCCCATGAGCTGCCTCCCTGTAGCAGGACACAGGGTGCTGCCTGCACTTACACAGATGTGTGTGATGAGCTCAGCGGACAGTCTCTCTGCCAGGCAGGGGACTGTGGCCTTTCCGTCCTCCAGCAGCACCCTGAGTGGGGACAGAAAGAGATTTCCACTGGGAGGTGGACAAAACACCCACATCTGTGCATGGGGAAGTCAAGCACAATTCAGTTGTTTCCAACAGAATTGTAGACACACAAATGATACCCAGCACATACACAGCTGGACTGAACACAACATGGCTGCAGGGACCAAGCTCAGACATTTCCACAAAGGTGCCTGGCCCCTTCCAGGTTGGCACGCAAAGTGTCTCAAGCCCGAATTATCATGTTCAAAATTTACATGTACACAACCACAGGCATGTTTCCATGGCACACACACACACACACACACACACACACACTTCTCTGTCACGTGTGAGTAGACTCTGTGCACACAGGAGCAGGTGTGCATACAAATACACACAAGGAAGAGGAGCACGGAGTAGGGAGACACACCTTGGCCTGGAACTTAAACCACCACACGTGGAGGGAGGAGGCCACGCAGGCCTCTCATACTGCCCAAGTCTGTGCAACCAGGGTGGGCTGTTTCGGGCTGCTGTGCAGTTTATGGGATCATTCAGGGTGACAGGCAGCAGGAGGCTGAGCACAGGCCTGGCTGGGACAGACTACTCATGCCAAAATGGACCATTTTAACTATTTTTATCGCCAGATTAATGGCATCAAGGTCCTTCACAGTCACTCCAATCCTTCTCCAGAGCCTTCTCACTGGCAGACATGAAAGTCTCCCCATTATACACATCCCCCATCCTCCCTCTTCCAGCCTTGTCCCCGTGCCCTCTCTCTGCCTCAGTGAGGTTGCTGCCCTAGAAGTGTCACTCAGGGGGCTCACACAGCATCGGGCTCACTGTAACCAGCTGGCTTGCTCAGCGTTGCATCCTCAAGGTCCCGCCAAGCCACAGTCTTATGTGATCCTCCTCCTTCCTGAGGCTGGAAAATACTCCAGCTCCTGTGCACCCCAGTGTGTTTCTCTGTCCACAGACCCTAGGTTGTTCCATTCTAGGCTGTGTGCAGAGTACTGTGGTGTGAGACAGTGTGTGCAGGCCTATGTGGCACACCTCATGCTATAAGGCTGCCTCCCTGAAGGTTTCTGCATGGACTGATGCCCTGAGGTTCTCACCATTTCATGTGCTTCACTGAGGACCAAACCAACCTGCAGTCTTTTCTTTTCAAGGTATTTCACCTTGGATGTGACTATTTAATGACTTGCCATGTCCCATCCTCATTTTCAGTGAGCTTTTGTTTTTAGGGGGTAAAACTGTGTGAACTCCCCTTTTATTTTTCCAGACCAGAGAGCAAACACTGTCACACACAGCCACTCACTATAATCCACATCTACACACCTGCTCACACTCCCACACACCCTGGATATATGCCCTCCAGGGGAAATTTCCTTGTGGAGACAGTGTCTTCAGTGGCATTTTCCCGAGATGAGTGGCACACCGCACCTGAAGTGAGGGTGGTCCTCAAAGAAGGCCTGTTCCTTCTGCAGGGCCTCGGCCAGGCTTAGCCGCTCCTGGATGTCCTGCTGGCCACGGCACTTGACGATCATGTAGCCCTTCTTCAGATGGCACACCAGGTTTTTCACCACATCCACAACCTTGTCTTCAGTGCCTCTGTCCACCAGGTCAGGCTTTGTCAAGACTCCTGCAGAAGGGACTTCTGATTAGAGGATACTTGAGGTGGAGGGGAAGGCAGCTCCTGCCCCAGCCCTCAGCAGCCCGTCTTGGTCCCACCCTAGCTGGAGGGCAGACAGGATCCCCACAGCAGTCTCAGGCAACCCAGAACTCCACGCTAGAAAGCACTGCGGGGCATGAACATGAGGACAGGGGCACTGCCGGCACTGCCTGCACTGTGGGCTCTCCTGCCCTCTTTGCCAGCCCCCTGGAATAGAGGAAGGAACGGGTCATCCCTGTGTACCCTGAGGACATCAGCTTCGCTTCCTTCTCCCTTGCTTCCCAGTGAGCATGATGCCTCCCCTGCCCTCACCCTGCCCTCACCCTGCCCTCCCACTGCCCTGTGCCTTCTGAAACAGGAAGGTCAGGGAACCAGGCCACCTGTGGCCATCAGGAGCCAAGGAGAGCTCATCTCCTCCCACCTCAGAGGGCACCTTCGCTGCTCCTCCCTCTGCATGCAGGTCCCCACCCTGGTGTGTGCAGAGCCCGGCCCCTCAGTTCATTCCCGCTCCTCACCTATGGTCCTGTCTCCTTCCGGATCCACCTCCTGGGCCATGCACAGCGCCTCCGTGGTGGCGATGTCCACGTTACTGGGGACCACCACCAAGTTGATGGTCTCAGACTTTTCAATGTACTTCATGATGAGCCGCTTGATCTGTGAGAAATGACACTATTGGCCTCCTGAGATGGGAGGGAAGGGGCAGACCATCCCAACCTTGCACTTGGCAGCCCTCAAACTCTAGCAGTGTCTGTCCCTGAGAAGTAGTAAGGATGGACAAGGGACCCTACAATGGCTACCCTGGTGGCACCTGCCAAGCCAGAAGAATAACAAACTAACATCTGTAGCAGTCATACAGCTAAGCTAAGGGGTCAGGGACCACCTTGAAGTTGGAGCTGCTTAACTTTCCCCTGAAACCTTAGATCCTGTAGACACAGTGGACAGCATGAGGGCAACAGTGCTGCCTGGCTCACTCCCTGAACCTGTATCTGGGAGGAGAGATTGTCTCATCACAAGTCTCCTTCACACTTGTCCTCAGGCTTTCTTCCAGGGTAAGAGCCTTCCCACCACACACTGAAGTGGAGGTGCTAGAATAGGGAACTGTACCAACTGTTACAGATACAGTTTTATGAGGCATCTCATAAAACAGGAGAGTCAGAAATCTGTTTCTAGTTGTACCTGTTTGCTTCACTTTCACCATCAAACTTGGGAGCTGATGACCACAGGGCTTTTCAATGCCACCACACTCCACATGTCCCTCTGCAACACAGCCCTGCACTCATGGCTGCCCTCAGGCAGCATCGACTGGCAGGTCTGAAGGGGCCTGAAGTCTCACCTGGCGACCGATGTCAGCAGGCTGATTGCCCACAGCCACCCTGGTGATCCCGGGAAGGTCAATGAGAGTCAGATCTGGGACGCTGGGGGAGCTGATCTCCAGACTAATGAGTTCATCCTTGATTGCCAGCCCATCCCCAGCGATGAAATTCTGGGCTGGAGAAGAGGGAAAGAAAAAGCTCCCAGGGATTAGAATGTGATGTCACATTCCAGGGAAGGGTGCAAAGCCTCTACCCTTCAGGACTCTTGAACAGCAGCTCTGTTGATGCAGAGCCCATCTTCTGAGATCAGAGTTCAAATACTCCTCAGAGGACAACTCAGCACTTTCCAAGCTGTGGCCAGCTCCTCTAGAGAGGCCTGCTGAACCTGTCCATGAGGACCCCAGCCTGGAGCCGTGCCCTGCAGAACCCAGCCTCCCTATAGGCTCCCGTGTCCTTCCTTCCATGCTGGGGTGACATTCACAGGGAGAAGATAGGAAGGAGTGAGTACACAGGGGATCCCCCAAACTGGAGCTGCAGGTTGACCCAGGATGGGATCAGCTCAGGCAGGAGGACCCCTGGATGAGGGCAAACTTGTAAGAGGTTCACATCCCACCAACCCCCTCTGGAATGAGATGTGTAGGATGTCAAGCTGCTTCATCTGAGTGTTTGCTAATACAACATTGCTCAGGTCTCCTGCCTCATTGTTTGAAATGTTTGGTGGGAACCTAGAACATAGATGGAAAATAGCAGCACTGGCAGGTGTGGAAAAGCCTGCTAATTGTCCCCAAAGCCCTGTGCCCACAAGTAATGATTGTGATATTGAGCTCAGGCCCCTGGTATCTGTGAAAATGTTACATGCAATGTCCAGAAGGTGGCTGGAGGCACTGAGGTGGCCTTGTCCCTGTCCAGCCAGCCAGAATTTGGCCTTGCTAACTCCATCATGAGGGTGTGGGAGACAGAGGTCACCCTCAGCTCAGACAGGAACAGGAGACATAGTTTGTGACACTGGAGCCCTCACTCCAGCTGTGCTGTGACCTGAAGATGTTTGTGTGTCTGCCACTTCCTGACCACCCTCTAGGATTCCCATCATTCCTGCATACACCCTGCCTCATACCTGACCTGGCCCTTGTCCTATCTACAGATAGCTGATTCCTCCATTCAAGGAGGAAGAGTCCAATGGTATGTTCCTGAATGTGTCTCTCGGGAGCCTGAAGGAGCTGTCCTTTGGGGTTGCCTTCTCTTCCTGCTCAGAGGCCCTCAACCCTCTTCCCCAACAAACCCTGGAGCTTCCTGGCGTATGGCAGTCAGGCCAGCCAAGGGTGAGGTATGTTAGCAAGATCTTCCTGGATGGCCACCTAGCCCAGCCCACCCAAAGGATGCACATTCGTTGTGGATTAATGGAATCATGAGAAATGCACCTTTAAACCATGAGGCCTTGGGGTCAACATGTTACTTGGCTGGAGCTGACCAATACACAGTTATACTGAGTTTTCTGCTGGAGGCAGATAAATTAATTTCACCTCGGACCAAAGAAAATTTTGTAGCATTATTTAACTTTATGGACCCGGGCTAAATAGTGATACCACCTTGGAGAAACAAAGGCCACCTTGCTCATTTGGGGATCAGTGTGGGCCCCATTCTCTATCCCAAGACAACTGAAACATAAACATGTGACAGAGGAGGAACATAAAAACTCACAGAAAAGCCTTGATTCACCTACAATGGCCGCTCTGTCAGCACAATATCCTCAAACAAAAGTGCAGGGCTTATCTGCTCCCACATGTCTCATACTGACTCTGCTTGGATTCAGGAGAACCTAACCACACTCAGGGACTCAGAACTACAAATGTGTACACACTCCCTTGGGGACAAGGCCCACTGGGCCCAGTGGGGATCATGAGGACACAGCCCCTGGGGAGACCCTAGGATGAGGCAGCATGGAAGTAGCCCTTTGCCCACACCCAGATCCTTTTGCTTCTGATTTGTGACCTATGAGTCAACAGGCTCTAGAATGAGGATAGCAGAGCCTTCTGTTTGGAGGCAAGTTTTAAATTTTAAAATTCACATCATTGTGAGGCATTTCTTTACATGTTACACAGTCACTTCCTACTGCCAGATTCGGTGCCCATGCCTGGTCTTTGAGAGGGGAAAGAGAGGGAAGGAGCAAGACCACTGAGTGCCTATGTGGAGAGATTTTGAGGGCACAGGATGGGTCCAGATTGGGATACTGGGGACCTACACAGGCCCCAATGCACGGCTAGACCAGGCATCCTGCAGATGATGAGGGCACTTACCTCTGTTGATTTCCTCTTCTACCTTAAAAGCATCTGAGATGCCCTCTTCAATGCCCATGTAGCTGACCTTGCCTCTCCACTCTTCATCTTGCTTCAGCTTCTTCAGTTTCAACACCAGAGGGCATCTGGTGACAATACCTAGGGGCCACACCACTGTCAGTCTCTGTTCTGGTCCTAGAGCCCCCATATGGGGCCTTTGACCAACATGGCTCAAACTCACATAGCCCTTGCCATGGAGCGGGGGTGGCTGGAAACAGAAACCTCTCTGGTTTTCCCCTTAGGTCCCAGTGACCTCAGGCCTCTGTGTTAGAAACAAGCACCCAGGGGACTTTGCTCTTCATGGTTGAAAGCCACAACTCATGGCAGGCTTCCTGCTTCCTACCACTGATTTGCACCCAGGTCAGGTAACAATTGCAGTGGGAATGCCCAAAGCATCTGCACTTGTCCTCAAGTGTCTCCTACACATGCTCCACTCACCACTCTCCCCAGCACAGTCCCACGATCCCCTACTGTTATCTTCTCTCTCATGTCCTACTAGTGGCCAGAGCTCTGAACTCTCACCTATGCTCTGACCTCTACTCTTGAGCCTTCACTAACCCCCTCTGCCTTCCACCCCACTGACCTGAGTACCAATCTGTACCTTCCCAAGGAAAGGCCCAGGATGGTCACCCACAAGTGCATAGCACAGGCTGGGGCCCTATCCTTTCATTCAGACCTGCCCACACTGCAGATTCCACAGTGCCAACATAGATATGTTCAATGAGATGGTGCTGTGGACGTCATGGTCTTTTCTAGAACGTGTATGCAGAAGCCCTCACCTGAATGTGCCTGTGTGGGAGACGGGACCTTAAGGGAGGTCATTCAAGTTAAATGAAGTACCAAGGGACAACAGTGGTGGAGTCCCTAATGTTATGACTGGTGCCCTTATGAGAGATGGCAGAGACACCAGGATCCTGCACAGTGGAAAGGCCAGGTCAGGTGCTGGCAAGTGAGGGGCTGGCCACCTGCAATCTGTGAAGAAAAATCACAGCCTTAATCTTGCACCTGCAGTGCCAGAGCTGTGGGAGGACCACTTCTGTCCTTTAACACCCACCCCCCATATCTGGGTAGCTCGAGCTGAGTAAAGAAGATGTAACACTCACCACTGCCCCTGGGGAGGGCGACTCCTGACAGAGCCTCCAGCACGGAACTCTTTCCCGAGCTCTGGTCTCCAATGACCGCAATGGCAGGCAGGGCCAGGTCCTGCTCCACACCCAGGGCCCGCAGTGAGTCGATGAGGTCGATGCAGGGCCGCACCTTCTCCTCGTACTGCCTGCAGAGGTTGTTCTCAGGCACCTGGAGGAGGTGAACATGCTCCCTATCATACACATTGAAGACAATTAACTTCAAGAACAGGGATAAACAAGCTGTTAGAATCCCAAAGAACTGAAAAATAGACAGAAAAATATTTGAAGAAACAATAATACACACAAAGTCCTCAACTGATAAAAACTGTGAACCCAAACGTCCAAGAAATTAAATGAACCCCAAGTAGAGAACACTTAATACAAACCACATTAAGATACATCAGAGGGAAATTGCTCCAAATCAGTTACAAAGAGAAAATATCAAGTGTAGTTAGAAAATGACATATGACATACAGAGGAACAAGACAAGCTTGACAGCCGACTTCTAATAAAAAACAATGGCAGTATGAAGACAGGGAGACAAACATTTTCCCAAAAATTGGAAGACTAGCCTAGAGTCTACACAGAATAAGGCTAGGCTCTTAGATGTGCTAAAAATATAGTCCACTTCTGAACTATGACCCCACCCAACATTTCCTAACAATTAAAAACTACTAACAAGAATCATCATGAACCGAGAATTCTATACCCATTAAAATACGTTTTGCAACAAAGGCAGGATTGGAGCATTCTCAGTTGGAGGATTGGCTGAGACCACAGGGATTGGAGGGGGGGAGGCAGCGTATCTCCAGGTCTGCAACTTGACCGTGGCATTATAAGCAATGAGGCTGTGATTATCATATTTTAAGTAGTGTTTGTTAAGCTGCTGTTTCTTTTCTAAAAAGATAGAGGAGAGCTTACGTTATTAGTGTCAGGCTGTGCACTTAGCACTTTGTGTCCATTCTCCCATCAACCTGGTAGGCAGATTAAGTTAGGAGGGATCTTACAGCACATTTTGTAGACAAGAAAATTGAGACTTAGAAGTGTAAGCAAAGTGCCTGAGAAGTATCAGGACGCTTGGACTTTGACACAATAATCTGTTGCTTGTTCTTCATCACTTTCTGGTTTTGCTTTCAGGAAAATCAAACACAAGATGAAAACATTAACAATTAATACCAAATAGAGAATTTTTTAGACATGTAAATCCTGATCCAACTTATCTCCCACACAACTCAGGGAACAACACTGACTCAAAATCGGCATCTACACTGTGGAATCCACACCACAAGAGGTAACTCCTATACATTTTCTTATCAGTGAAATAATGCTAAAAGGTCACTGACTTTTTGAATAAAGACAATATCAAGAAGATAGTGACTAATGAAGGTTTTATGTTTTTCGAATTTTATGTTCGCCACTTGTCCAACAGCGGCCACTTCGTAATGTTTAAATAGTTATTCATTGTGCCTTAAATTTTTATACATTTTTGTTTATGCAAGCTATAAAATTTCTCATAAATGCATTAAATGAAAAAAAAATTGATTATAATAAACAGAGCACTTTCTGAATATTTGGCATTAGTGACAGTTATGCCTCCCAATAACCACATGCCCTTTGATTTCAATTCAGACATGGAAAACCAGGCTAATACGTAGAGAAAGAACTTCTCCAGGACAACAGCTGAAAGGGTCTATGTTGGGACCAAAGCTAGCAGTGACTCGTTCTAAAGCCCATTTCTATTTTCCACCAAAAATAGGTCTCAATTATAGGAAATCAAATGCCACGTGGTTTCACTGGGGAGGAGGTGTCATAAGCAGACCTCATAGCGTTTGTAGCTGCAAATGAGCCATGATATGGATGGGACCCACACAGTGCTCTTGGGACCCAGGGTCCAGCCACTTCCCATATGAGCTCCTCAGCATCTCCTCTGCTTTCTCAAGACAAAAAGGCACCCTGGGTGCATTTGACCATGGGAAGAGTCTCCATCCCACTGCATATTGCCCTAAACAGTGACAATTGGCCCAGATCTGTATCCTGCCCAGGAAGGACAAGGAAGACACTCTCTCAGGGAGGCAGCACCCTGCCCTCCTGCTTGCCCTTCACCACTACATAGACCCCACTGCACCCCTCAGATGCACATGGCTCCTGTCCACATGGAGTGTGACTCTAAGACAGCCACTTACCAGAGCCTGGGCTTTCTCTGCCTGATTAGCTCCTCCATTGAGTAAGAGATGGTTGGATGGAGCAGCTGAATCTCTTCTGGCTTTCCCCAAGGAATGATCCATCTTCTTTCCACTTCTGTCACACTTGGTGCTGAAAGAAAGTTGGTACATAAGTAAGAGCACCTCATACACAACCTTCCCACCACCCCTATTTGCACCCCAACCCCAGTCATGTGTCCAGGGCATCATCATCCCTCATGCTCCATCTTGAAAGGGACAGCTGGATGCACTTCTTGTGTGAGGGCCAGAGGGGTGACTATGAAAGACCAGCAGTTTCCCTGGGGATCCATGGATTCTGGCAATCTGGAAATTTGTTCCCAAAATAACTCCCCTCCCCTGACCAATGGGAAGATCTCGTGTTCCCAGGGGTCCCGCGCTCCATGGTGAGGCCCCCTTCTTCTGCCTCTCTGCAGCTCTGATCTACTGGGAAGCCAATGCCTGAGTAGGCCTTAAGCACCATGAGCTGGCATCGCTGGTCTCCAGGCCAGGGGACCAGGCCAAACAGGACACGGGACGTCTACTGCCTTCCTCAGTTTATTTCCTAAATGATATATGGGTTATGGCTGAGATGTGACATGTCCCCCAAAGCTAATGTTTAGAGAGTTGCTGTTCCAGCCGGTGGTGGTATTGGGGTGCAGGAATCATTCAGAAGTTGGGCACAGCTGGACAGCTGCTGAGTGTCCCCCAAGCAGAGAGGTGATACCTTCACACCTTCCAGGATCCCTCTGATTGGTTCTGGGCAGGAAGTAGGATTGCCGGGTGTTTTAACTCCAGCAATCTTGCTTCCTAGGAAAAGCTCTGTTCCCAGTGGATCGGATAATTTCAAGAGCTCGTGGTCCCCAGGTGTGGGGGGCAGGACTCAGCAGCATCTTGGCTCCTTCCTCTCCCCCTGAGCCATGGCACTTATGGAACTTGGATGGCCTGGAAGGCTGAGTCCTCCCACCTACTGCGCCTGCGCCTCAGGGTCTCCTGTCCCCAGCCAGGGAGGACAGTGAGCAGCACACTTCCGCCCTCCTCTGGCCGCCAGCCCTTCCTAAGGACACCGTTGGTCCCGGGAGTCCCCTCCCCTGGGGTACCCCAGGCTCCCTGACATCATAGCCTCAGAGGCCAACCCAGCGGGGCTGTGAGTTTGCTGCTCAGAGGAAGCAGTGCATTGGAAGCCCCTTCCTTGGCCCTAGGCGCTCCCTAGGGACCCCCAGTCCCGATCCTGTTCTGCCTGCAGCAGGAAGGCCCAGCTGGGGCTGCTCCTGCCGCCCACCTTCAGCACAGATCCTCGAGGTGGGACAGGACTGGAGGGGGTCTCCACCCACTCGGAGTCGCAGGTGTCCATTAATTCTCACCGTTAGTGGCGCCCAGAGGTGCGTGTGCCCCACCCGAAGCGCTGTCCCAGGGCGACGCCCCTCCCCGCGCGCCCCCTGTCCGGCGCATCCTGGGGACCTCAGGGAAGATACTTACCAGTCCCGGTGCAGCTACTGAGGAGGAGCTGGGGCTCAGCTTTATGCACAGCAGGCCACCCCCCGCGGGGTCAGGACACTCCCAACGCCCCGCCCCTGCGGGCCAGCAGGAGGAGGGCCCTGAGCAGAAAGGAAACCGAAACTCCAGCGGGGCCCCCGGCGCCCGGGAAGGGGTGTGTTAGGGGGGCCCCACTGCAGGACAGGCTGCGCCTGGGGAGGTCAGGGCCCTTTGGGAGCCACAGGTATCCGCCTGCTCCCCGCTTAGCTCATCTCCCAGTGCTCAGAACACCCCCAAGTCTGCAGTGAGTGGGGAGCAGCTTCCTCAGCCAGAGCCACCCAAAGCTGCGTCAGGGAGCCTGGAGAGCCTGGCTGACCCAAATTCCGGGGACGGGGATGTGGGGCCGAGGACCACACTGGTCAGGTCCCTGCGCTGTGCACTACCCGCTCCTGGGATCCAGCACCCCCAGGCCAGGCCTAAAGGGGAAACCATGCTTCCCCAGGAGCTGCCCCGTGTCCTCGCCAAGCCCTCTGGGCCCTCACCTGCAAGTCAGGAACTGCGGTGACACCTGTCCCCTCCCAGGGGCTGTGAGCTCAGGGGCTGAGGCTGTCTGCAGGAGGACAGGCCTGCTGCCTGAGAGCGGAGCGGAGGGGGAGCCCAGCAGCTCACTCTGGGCCAGCATGGGCTGCTTCTGACCACAGGGCTCTTTCCAGGACTGGATCCAGAAAGCCCCAGGCCACATGAAACGCAGGGACTCACAGCCTTCACCAGCCCTCGGAGCGCAGGCAGCCAGGCTCCCAGGGAGCAGATTTTCGGGCATTGATCCCTCTGGACTCCTCCAGGGGCCTCCTTCTAGGTTTCACGGGAGCCTCTCAGGTCTGGACGCCCCTCTGGGGCCCTCATTTCGGGACCTGCTCCCTTCTAAGAGTTGCACGTTCTGGCAGCACGCCGAGGGACACAGGCTGGTTTTTAAGTGTAGGTGGCCAGTGATGCCCTCCTAGCTGCTGTGAATTAGCCCTTTGTCTGTTCCGAGGCACCCTGAAGGGTCCACCTGCACTCTCCCACCAATACCTGTCACCAGCTCCCTTGGGTTCCTGCGCTTAGTAATAATAGAAATGAGGTGAAGCATCATTTTACAGGAAAAGCTTTCATTGCAAAGTGAGAGAAGACAGGAAAGGACTCCAGGTGAGTAGGCTACCCCGTAGGTGGCCACAGGGGGTGCTCTCTGGTACAGGGGTTCAGACTGGCCACCCGCAGGGGGAGGAGGCCTGCTTCTCAGGAAAGCTGGTGGGGCGGTGTCACAGCTCTGGACTCTATGGTTGTGGAGTGGTTTTGTTCCCACCTGAACACAGGTTCCGGCCGGCTGGAAACTTCTCAGGCATAGCTGAAACCTAGAAATCCCCTGTCTTGTGTCTACAATTTGAAGGGGGCAAGAGCGTGTAAATTCAGGAACAATCAACCATGTAGAGCTGAGATTTTACACCACAAAAGTAGTTTTACAGCAACAAAAGACACAAAATGAAAGTTAAGCTTTGTTCTCTGTTTAGTTACCTATCAGGCATCTGTAGACCCAAGTGAAGACTCATGGTTCTAATCAAGAATGGCTTTTCAGTCCCTGGCTTAAAAGGAGAAAACACAAGTCAGGTTTTCAACCTGCAGCAGTGAAGGGCCCCGGATTCTTCTCTTTCCTCATCCCTGTATAGACCCCTGACCCTGTTCTTGCTCTTGTACAAATAAAGTGGGCTGTGCACGGACTACAGAGAGAAGCAGGTCCCTGTTTACCCTTTACATGGATGAAGACTTTTTTGTTTGCTTCTTTTGAGACAGGGTCTGCGTACGTAGTTCAGGCTGGCCTCAAACTGGCGATGATCCTCTGTCCAAAGCCTCCCAGGTGCTGGGGTCACAAGCTTGAGCCACTATGCCCAGCTCACTTGAGGACTTTCCAGCTGCTCCCCAATAGTCTGAACTTTTCAGGGGCCCTGGACCTTACCAGCACACTTTGCGCTAAGGTTTAAATCACAAGGTTACAAGTGATTAAGGAAGTAGATGAGAATCATAGCTGCCTGTAAGATCATCAAACCCACTTTGCAGACCTGAGGACGGAGCCCCAAGGAGCAGGGTTCGCAGTGGAAGGCGCAGCTATGGCCCCACCCCGGTTAGCCCCTAGGTCTGGCCTCTCCTCACCACACTCAAATCAAGGGGCAGCTCCCACCCTGCCCGGCTGCCGATGAGGTGCTTGCTCCTAAACAAGTAGCAATTGTTCTGTTTTCTACCAAAAAAATAAAGCAATGACTAACATGGCGCTCCTAGCCCTGGACAATGAGTCCTGGTCGCCCAGCACTGCCCCTTGGGCCCCAGCCCCACTGCCACTCCAGGCCACTGCACAGAGTTCCTGAACCTAGACTGTTGGTTCCTGTCTCTCTGCTGGGATGTCAGGGTCCCCAGCTCCGGGAGGAGCCCCTCCCCTCCCCTGCCCAGGCCCAGCTGCAAGGCCTCCTTCATAGCCTGGCTCAGGGGTCGTCCAGTCCTACAGGCCTGAGCCCAGCTGATCCTCTGCTGTAGCTCTGGGGAGGCCCTGGATGGGGGGACGTGGCCTCCTCCTCCAAGGGTGTCACCTCCATGAAGGCGGGGGGGGGGGTCTTCTCACCTGGAAGCCCCAGTGCCACCCTGGAGCACCTGGAGGAGATGTCAGGGAAGCCCTGGTGAATCTCCTATGGTGAACCACCTGCCTCTCTGCCTCTGCGTCGCCATGTGGCACAGCCCCAGGGCCACTTAGTAGATAGATTGTCCTGCCTCCGCTAAAACACATCTGGTAGAAACACCGCACCCACAGGGCAATCTTCCTGCAGACCGGCATCCCCAGTGGCCCAGATCTTAATCCCTGAGTCCATGGGGTCCTGGTGCCCCAGGGACCCCAGCCTGCTCTGGTCCTTCTCCAGCCCTCTGGCCATCCGCAGGCTGGGCCTGGGCTGGGCTGGGCTTAGGGAGCAGATTGGAGCTGGCGTCCAAGGAGAGCCATCCAGGGCAGGCTGCACGGGTCTGACCCTCCCTCAGGTGGGTCTTCTAAATCCTCATGGGAGGCCGATGGCACCCTGCTAGGTTTTCTCTGTATCTATTTTGTGTGTGTGCTATTACAAATTGAACTCAGGGCCCACACGCTGAGAGTCCTTTTAATTTTTAAAATGTTGAGACAGGGTCTCAAAGAAGTTGCTGGTGCTGGGCTGGTACTTGTGATCCTCCTGCCTCAGTCTCCCCACAGGTGAGTGCCACCAAGCCTGGGTTGGCAGCCTGCTGCAAGGCTGCAGCAGCGTCCCGATGTGGGCACAGCATTACCCCAAGCTGCCCCGTGTGTGTAAACGCCCTGTCCAGCCTCCTGCACCCACAAGCACTTCTCCAAGGCCCGGCGGCCCGGCCCGCGGTGTGCAGGACCTAGAGCACCTGGGCTCCCCCAAGCCTCACCTGGCTCTTCCACCTCCTCCGCCAGGCCCTGGGCTTGCTGGCGGGAGCCTTGGCACACACACTGCCCTCTGGGCAGGCAGGGCAGGCTGCCAGGGTTCCCCTGCCCCAAGGGGGTCTGGGTCAGGGGACAGCACCAGGTCAGCAATGCGGGCTCCTGTCCTGGGACCTCACAGTTCAGGCGCCTCAGAGTTTGGGTCTCTAGAATGAATGGCGAATCCCAAGGCTGGTTCTGGTCTGCACCGTGCTCCTCGCGTGAGGGTGTGGGGGAGGGGCTTGGGGGTTGGGGTGCTGTGGGGGATGGGGTGAGCATGTGGGTGCCAGCAGGGAGTGGGGGTGTCTGTGGGGGGTGGGGAGGTGGCGGGCCGCAGTGGGGGTGAGAGCGTGGAGGACTGGAGCGGGAGGATGCCGCTGGGGTGGCGGGGTGGGTGGGGCTGGGGTGCGCGTTGACCGAGGCCGCTTGGCCGGCCCCTCAGGCCCTCTCCCCGTGGAGCCCCCCCACGCCCAGTCGCTTTCAGACAGCTTCGGTTTCCGTTTTGATTCTCAGACCTTCCTCAGAAATGAAACTCATGCTGGGCTGGGAACCCAGGGATGATTTCATCCAAGGGCCTGGCCAGGGGCGGACCTGGGATCAGAGGAGGCCCCGCCCCAGGCTGCTCTCAGGCGGAAAAGGATTTGGGTTTCCTGAGCTGCGGCAGGGAAGATGCAAAGCAGCAGCAGGAAACCGCCCTAGAGGGAGGTGTCCCGGTCCCTGCCCAGCAACTGGGTTGCAGGAGGGATCTGTGCTCTGCTACCCGTCCTTCCCTCCTCTGTGCACTCAGGGGGACCTCGCTTTCCAGGGAGGACCCTGCACCGCCCGCTGGTAGGAACCAGAGTCTGGGGGTCCCTCCAGATCCCTGTATTCGCACCTGCGGTTTAGAGGGGCCCAGGTGCTGCTTGCTGCTTCTCTGCCCTCAAGGTCATGGCCTGGACATTCCCCTGTCCTGTCCTGGGCCCAGCAGAGCCCTGTGGGAGGGGACAGGAGCTGGGAGCCTGTTATGCTGGCACAGCTTGGGGGAGCAGTGGGCAGCTGGGCTGGGGCACTCGGGACCTGGGCCAGTCTGGGTGTACTGGGGCCCAGCCCAGCGTCAGGGCACTTACAGCCCTGCTGGAGGTGGGGCAGCCTCTCCAGGATCAGGGTGCCAGGAGCCCACTCTGGGGTTCACCCTGGGGAAGCATCATCGCATTGTGACAAGCCCCTCATAGGAGAAGGAGCCGCCCAGGGAAGCCACATCCTCCCTTTCTGCACCCATCCTCCCTTCCTTCCTCCCTCCCTTCCTTCCTTCCTTCCTTCCCAGTTTCACAAGGACTGAGCACCCTGCTAGGTTCCCTGCTCCGAGCTGAGACCTGGGAACAGGGAGGAGCTAGCCAGGGAGGGGACAGCACTCAGCTACAGGGCCCAGGGAGGAGCCTGGGAGCCAGAGAGGCCCTGGTGCACGGGGACCTGGGGAGGACCTGAGGAGAGGACTCAGGGAGGAGGTGACAGCCACCTCAACACCATCCCAGTGTCCTGATACCAAGCAGAGGTGATGGGATGCACTGCACGCTCCTACTTCCCCACATCCTCCTGTCACAAGTGAGGTCAGCTGACCCTGCAGTGCACCGGCTTCCAGCCAGAGCTCAGTGCCCATGGAGCTGGGCGCTGCTGGGTACTCGGAGGTGCCTGGGCTGTGGAAGTGTGACCCAGCCGGGTCCTGGGCTCATGCCCGGGGCAGCCTTTCCAGTGCTGGAGCGGTGACCTGACATCACAGTGTGCACATCCTCCTTCCTTCTCCCCCTCCACCTGAAGCACAGCTGCCAGGCAGGAACGATCCAGGCCGGGAAGACCACAGGAAGGGCAGAGCTGTGAGTGCAGCCTCCTCCCGGACCTTGGAGCTGGAACACGGTGCACCTGGGGAGGGGAGGGGTCCCTGAATGCTAAAGATGGCTGCAGGAAGTCTCCAGTCCCCACCTTCCCAGTCTGCGATCCAGGCCTGAGGAAAAAATACACTAAGAGACAGAGCTGGGGAAGAAAGCGGGCCACCAGGAGGGCCAGAGCCACTGCAACCACAAAGGTGCTGGCCAGTCCCAGGCACTGACTTTTATTCACAATCAGGTGGGCTAAGGCAAGCTACTTGTGGTTTCTATAGAAACTAATGTAAGCAAGGCTCATAAAGGATACAACAAAGCATTCTCAAATTAGGAACAGAATAGACAAATTATATGGTTGTAATTAGAACATTGTCCTTGTAGTAAGAAGGTTTTAGTTGTGGGAAAGGAATTTGGGTGCGAGTTACTCTGACCTCACATTAGGCTTCGGCCAGATTCACTTCTCAAAACAAGCCCACGGTGGGGTTAGCTCTTCACACGGGCTGTGGGCATCATCAATGGTATGATCCTTGGCACCCTGTCACTGTCCCCTGAGCACCTAAGTCAGATGGAGATTTCAGTCAGGACCTATCTCAGATGGCACCAGGGTACTGAAATGCGGACATGTCTGTGAAGTTCGTCACAGTTAGAGCTACTGGGAGCCACCCAGGACAAGGGACCATGGGTGCCAGGGAAGCCTTCCCCACTGGTCTTCATTTTGGAAGTCACTGCGAATGCACCAGTTTTCCTAATGGAGATGTGGTTTGGCCCCAAGGCCTCTGGGGCGCTTCCAGCCCTTTCTGGCTCCCCTGTGACCAGGAGCCATGTGGAGCCAGGAGACCCTGAGAGGATCACACAACTTCCCCAGAATCCAGACAGGACACCTTGTGGCTGTTTCAATGCACCAGGTTTAGGGAGCTTGTGACAGAGCAGGAGGGAACTGAAATGCACCCCAAGCTCCATGTGCTTGGTGCACAGGAAGCAGAGCCAGAGCGGCAAGGTGGGGCTCTCTGTGAGCTTGGGCCTCGGCGGTAGGAATGTACTCTCCAGAGCTTTTGGTCACTGGTAGGTTGTGTTCAGCGTGTGCTCACTTCTCATTCCTGCTAGGGGTGGAATTATGTCCCCTCTCCCAGTTCCCATGCTGACATCCTGACCCCAGTGGAACTGCCTTGGAGACAGGGCCTGTGAGCTGTAGAACCGTCAGAGACGTCAGCACAGGGGCAGCAGCAAGCTGCCCACACAGGCAGGTTTCATTTCACAATAAAGGAAACCAAAATTAACCCCGAGTTTCCTACTGTTCTGTCTCCCTTTCCCTGCCTTGCAAGGGAAAAAGTCACTGTGAGATGACCTTTCTGCTTGCTGTCCTTTTCTTCCTGCTTTGCCTTTCTCCAGCTATAGAACCAGCCTCCTCTGCTCGGCCATCAGATCTCTCCTTCTATTTGATGGAATGAAGCCCTCGGATTCTAGAATTACAAATAAAACCAATTATGGTCTTTAAACTAAGTCGGTGTAATATTGTTCTTTGGCAGCACAGGGTTGAACAGTATCCTGGGTCCCCTTTTTTCCTGGCCAGGGTGGAACACTGAGGCTCACCCATTGCCCTGTGGCCAGCAGTGCCCACTGTGTCCAACCCTGGAGCCCTGTGATCACACCCACTTGAGACCCATCCCATGGGACCAGCCTTCATCCAGTCCCTGAGATGCACCCACGATCTCCTGCCTGTTGTCCTCTGGCCCGTGCTGCTTATTTCTCAGATGAGCCTCAGTTGACTCATCTTGCCACTTTTGGAGGCCATGGGATCGCCTTTGGCTGAGTGGGGGCAGCACTGGGCTCCTCGGGGAAGGGCTGCAGATTGGGAGCTGGTACTGATTACTGGGAACCATGGCCCCCTGATGGGCATGTGCAGCTGTGTGCACTCTCCATGCCCCGCACAGAGCTTCCGGTCCTGGTTAAATGGGGTGCTGTTTGAGGGAGCCCTGCCCAGGGCTGACCCTGGGTATTGGCTGTAAGCGTGGTACCCGGATTTTAGACTCCTCTGATGGCACTGTGAGTCTCCTTCCCCTCCACAACTTCTGCCAACCTCTCAGTGTCCTGGTAACACCTTCATTTTCTGGGAAGGAGAGGAAGTCATTAGTCTGTGCTGTCATCATGTGAACGGCCTGGCCCGAGCAGCAGTGTGCAGTGTTGGCATCTGGGGCTGCGGGGTGAGAGGAAGAAGAGCAGCTCCAGTCAGAACAGGTCCTGGCACTGCACAGCCTCCGCCACAACACCCTGGAGGCCCAGGCAGGGCATGCCCACATCACAGACTGGGTGACACACAGGAGTTTCTGTGTTGCAAGGTCACCTGGGCTCCAGGGACATCCACTTGTCCATCACAGAAAACAGACTGTCAGCCTGCTGGTGGGGATGCCCCTGCACACTGGCATAGCTCTTCTGTCGCCCTCTGGTGGCCCTGCCTCGTTTGATTTCCTAACTCGGGAGTGATTTCTGAGCAAAATAGTCCCAAATCCTGAAGCTGCAGTTTATGGAATCTGCCAGCAGATGTCTCAAGGCTGGGCTTGGAGCCCACTTTAGCTTCCAAGAGGATCTGGAATTTCTACAACGTGTCAGATCTCCTGGGACAGAGCCTGTGTGGGCCCCATAAAGGCCTCTCATGTGAGGCTGCGTGTGCCCTGCAGGTGGAAGGACCGGGTCAGAGCGCTGCAGTTCTGTGACACAGTTGGAGCAAGAGGATTCAGGTGGGGCAGCTTTGGCTGTGCTTTGCTATTGGTCAGCGGGGCTTGGTGCTCTGCAGGGACAGAACAAGTGCACTTGAGCGAGATGTTTGATTCTCCTAGCAAAATGTTCACATAAAATACAACATGTATTTGTTACCCTCCATGCTCTCAGCTTTTGCACTTTTAATTTTACAAACCTTGTGTAACATTTAAACACAGCTTAGACACACAGCATATTTAGTCCTCGTATGTATATACATTGTTAGTTGCATATAGAGGCTGCCAGATTCATTATAACCAAGAATAAGTGTTGTTTATTAACCAGGCTCATAAACTGATGACTTAAAATACTTTTCAACAAATAAACACTTAAAAACCCCTGGCTCTACTGAGACTCAGTTCCTTAAGTGATCAAGACCCTGACAAACACAAAATCTTTGTTTTCTAAGTCAGTACTTTGTAAATGTTATTAAAATATCTATATTTTTTAGAAAATCTTCTGGTTTTAATCATAGAGAATTAGATTTTGGTTTTCCATTAAAATTTTAATGCAATTTAAAAAATAACAATAAATTATAGTTACCTTACTATACATACAAATTTTTTTACATTTTTCTTTCATGCTCTGCAACTGCCCAGATGTAATACAACTGTTTAGATCCTTAGTTTTATTCTATCTTTTCTTTTTTTTATTCTTAGAAAAATCCAGTGATTTAGGACAAAAATTGCACTTTAATGTCCAAAATCCTTTTTTATTTAAAATACCTTTTTTTTTGAGACAGTCTTGCTCTGTAGTTCAGGCTATCCTTGAGCTTACTGTGTAGCCCACACTGGCCTCGAACTTGTGGAAATCAGCTTGCCTCGTGTCCTGGGTGCTGGGATTAAGGGTGTGTTCCATCACACCTGGCTTTTTTTTTTTTTTAATTTAAAACAATTCTCTATCTTCCTTCACAAAAATAGTCCTATTCTTTTTTTTACATTTTATTTTGTATAGTAGGTTTGGGTTTTCATTTTGTTTTGTTTTGTTTTTGCTCAATGGAATTATTGTTAAGGGTCACCAGATTGTAGGCTTTACCAAATCAGTCATCATCAACACAGTTTAACCGCCAGACCAACAGACTAAAGAACATATAAAATACATAAAACAATTCATTAAATCTGTATGCACTTTCAGAGACATTGGCCAGAATTTCCTGGAGAGGCATTGAGACTGAATTAGCCCTTTTGAAAGTGTTCATGTAAATCCTATCAGATTTTCTCTAAGGTCCTGACTTGTTTGGTATTGGATTCCTTTCCTTGCTAGTTAACATCACAAAGCTAAAACAAGGAGAGAAAGAAATCAGAAAAGAGAGTGTTAGTTGGACTCACACATCCACCTCTGTGGATTCCAGGCAAGCAGTGGGGAGAAAGAACCACAAGGAAGTGCAAGGAGGCTTGGCCCCACTCAATATTCAAAGTATTCCCCACATCCCAGGGAATTAAGTAGAGGCCTTGGGGAAAAAGTAAAAAGATGGGGGTTTTTTGTTTTAGGTTTTTTTTTTTTTTTGAGGAAAAGAATCAAAATACTCCATACCAACAACCAAGCATAATAAAACCAATAACCCTCAGAAGAACCAACAGGACTACCAATTTCCAGTTATTCTGATTCCTTAAATGGCTCTGGGGTCCCATGGAATTGAACAGAGGGGTTAGGGAAGAGAAAGAAGGGACTTGTCCACAGTGTCCAGTACTGTAAGCTCCCAGTGCGTTACAGGTTTGGGTGACTCCTTGCAGCAAGACTCCAGAGGCCCCACACTGAGCACCTGAGAGCTGTCACCAGTTAGCATGGGTCACAGCAAAGACACATGGAAGTCAGATAGGAGGCACAAGTTCCAGCTGAATGTCCTTTTGTAATGAAGGCTCTGAACCATCCAAATGTGATCAAGGTATTCCAAGTGCTCAGAACACCTGCTGTACCAGGTGACGGAGTACAACAGGGAGGGACAACTACTGCATTGCATCCTGAAGGCAGCAGGACCTGCAGGAAGAGGAGGTCCAGAGAGGGGTCATGTACTCTCCCAAAGCCAGGGCATCACATGCAGAGTCCTGCAGTTGGAGGACACCTTGTGGGCACTGGAGGAAATACCATGGTCAGTGACTTTGGCATGAGCAGCAGGCTCACGGCCTAGTCAGAAGCTGGGCAAGTTCTATAGCAGACCCCTATACTGTGATTTGAGAATATTGTAAGGCAAATAATACAATGGCTCCACAGTGGACATCTGGAGACTGGGTGACTTCCTGTGCGCCATGGTCACCTGACTCCTCCCATTTCCCGTGGTCACCTCTGCAGATCTGCAGCAGCAAGTCAAGCACACAACGTACAATTTTTGACCTTCTCTTTCTGCAGAAGTGCAAAGTATCATCACTCAGCTACTAAACCTGAGGCAGAGGTCCAGGCCAGACTTCACCATGGGAATGCAGAGCTCAGCCATGGGGTGGAACATTCACCCTGTCCTTACAGAACTGCTCTCACATGGGCTATGACCCTCATGGGATATGAGACACTTTGAGATGGAGAAAGTTTGATGAGGTGATGGCAACACAGAACACAGCTGATCACCAGGCATTGTGGCACTAGGCTGTGCCATCTGTGAGAAGCCTGTGAATCCAGAGGTTACACCTTGAGAAGCACCTGCATATCCTTCCACCTTGGCCTGTCCTCCAAACAGGAGCATCAGTGAGATTGTCTCTTGCTCCCTCACTGCTTTGCTCTCTGAACATTATCTGTCTGAGAAGGAAAAGCTATTAGGAAAGAAGTGTGTTCATGTGGCCAACACTCCCTGCATAGCCCTCACTGTGTTCTCTCTTCAGCTCCAGCACAAGCAGCAGTGTGGGGGGAGACAGGGAGAAGGGGTTTCCCCTGGGGAAACAGTCAGGAAAGCTTCCTCCAAACTGGGCAAAACACAGCCTACACCTGTGACAAGAGGCAGAGCTGGACATGGGGGATTAGCATTACCACCTGCATTTGCAACCTGGGGTGCTGCCTGCTAACCCCAGATACTTGTGGATGCAGAAACCAACACTCCAATGAGTGTGGAGGACAGAAGCATCAGGAGCACAACCGAGGAGGTGGGTGATACAGCTGTGTGGCCTGCTGCTTATTTTATCTACATGTTTCATCACATCACTCTCAACTGACCAGTCGTAACTGTAAGGGTAGTCATAGGTAGAGAAGGGGGAGTCACTGGTCTCAGGGAAGAGGTTCAGATGAAATCAGCTGGAAGATATGTTACACAGCAGGTGATGTGGCCAAAAACAACATCTTATAGTTTCCATTGTAACTGAGAGGCTAAGTTCAGAACCAGAGAACTGTGAGTGCACTGCATCCAGACATCTTGTTGTGGGGGTTGGCAATGCATGGACACAAACATCTGTAGGAGTTGCCACTGAGCTAAATCCCCGGCCCTTACCCTGCTTTTTAATTTCTTTTTCCCAGAGATCACTACCAGGTCATAAGGACCTATAGAAAGGAAAAATCTTCCCAGGTGAAGCTGGCTGAGCATTTTTTTTCCAGGACATAAGGAGCCATGAAAGTCCTGCAGAAGATACACTGGAAGTCTTCCTTCATTGTATCTCAAGACATACAAGGCTCTGTCACTTCAACTTGATCTAACTCTTTCAAGTGACCGGAGCAGTGCATTTTATCTACCTGGTCAAGGCATATGTGGGTAGGGGACAGCTGGGGAAGTGCATCCTGGACCCTGGTTGCTCTCTAGAGGAGGCCATGAAATTCTCAGACAGATGGTGAATGCTGTGCTCCCAGGGTGGCATCTACCCAGGAACCTGCAGGCCCTGGACATCCTGCTGGATAATGTTCAAGTGAGGGACACTGGGCTGAGGGCCAGGAACTTGGGCAGACTGAGTCTGGCCCTGTTCCATGGCTCACTGAACTACTGTTCTGGGGTGAGGAATATGAGGCCCCATGGTGGATGTCTGGAGCCTGGGGTCACATTGCACATCACGCTCACAGGGACCCTCCCTTCTGGTGCAGACACCATTCTGGAGCTGCAGATGCAGATCCTAGAAGGAAAGTACACCATCCCAGTCACCTCTTCCAGGACACTAAGAAGCTTCCTTGGGCAGCTTCTCATGCTGGATCCCAGGCAGAGGCTCATGCTTGAGACCATCACAGGGCACCCATGGCTGCAGCTCAGTCCTCTGCCTGAGCCACTCCTCGAACACCTGAACCCAACCATCATGTAAGTCATGTCTCTCATGGGATATGATGTTCAAGAGGTGAAGAAATACCTGAGGATAAGAAAATTTGATAGATGGATAGCTACATATGTCATGTACCAGCACAGAGCATATTGAACAACAGGCCACCCTATCCACAGTGAACCATACCTCTTCAGGAACTACTTGCATAAGTCTGGGAAATCAGTTGTTCACAAGAATGACTAACCTCTGAGCCTGTAGGCATCAGTGAGGCAGGATTAAG